CCCATTGCTTATCCATACGCCCAGATATTTGTATTTATCTGTCATCTCTAGCGTGACCTCCTGTATTCTAAGCTCACTACCTTCGTTGTCATTGAAAATCATGACTGCTGATTTTTCCCTACTGAATCTAAAATCTAACCTATCTCCCTCATTACCGCAGATGTCCATCAATCTCTGCAAGTCTTCCTTGTTGTTGGCCATTAGCACTATATCATCTGCGTACATTAATGCCGGTAGTGCCTGATCAATAAGTTTTCCTTGTTTGACTAAAGAGAGGTTGAAGCCCAGTCCACTCCCCTCTAACTTTGCCTCTAATCCTTGTAGGTACATCATGAATAATAAGGGTTACAGGGGACACCCCTGCATAATCCCCCGTTTTTCCTCTGTGGACTTGGATACCAGTGCTTCCCTCTTTATACTATCTTGCTACCTTTATAGATATCCTTTAAATATTAGTAAGTCTATCTTCCACACCTAGTGTGTCCAGTATTACCCACAAGCCCTTTTGAACTGCGATATCGTACGCTCTCATGATATCCATAAATGCTTGCCGCAGGGGCCTGTGTTCTTTTTCTGCTATGTCGATGCACTGCGTACGGGAGAATCGATTGTCTTCCATCCTCCTGCATTTCCAAAACCCATTCTGCAGTTCCCCTAGCACCCTTTCATCCTCTATCCATGCCTGCAGTCTTTCCTTTATAATCTGCATCGCGAGCCTGTAGTCTACTGATGTCCCTGTTATGGGACGGTAGTTGTTTATGTCAGCTTTGTCCCCTTTCATTTATAGATTATGCTCATCCTGCTAAGTTTCAATCTATCGGGGACTTCAACATCTATTAGTATTTTGCTCACCGCCTCTCTCAAAGTCTGCTTAGACTTCTGACCCGATGTCTCTATCAGCATAATTGTTATGCCTTGGGGGCCTGGTGATGTATTACTAGGAACCCTCTTCTCAGCCCTTTGCCACTCTCGTTGTGAAAATGGAGCCATTGCGCCACTTGATTCATCCTTGTCTATTGTGGTGCATGAGGCACGTCTTTGTTGAAATTTTTCTGTCACCCTTGTTCTTATATATTCAATAGCTTCATCCCCTTCTAGCCTAGCACCTTGAGCGTAGTTATAAACCTCCGCTATAGGCTCATGTCATTTCTTAGGGAGTTTGGATGGTTCCAAAATTTCGGAGCTGCCTTTCTATTCTTTTTATGAACTTCTGCCAGCCACTGAGCCCCCTTTCTTCTAATCTTCCCATTGATCAGACGGGATGCTTCCCGTCTACAGCTTAGAAAATTGTCCCATTTTCTTTCAACATCATCTATCAGTTCACTCCGCTGCTTAGCATGTCTGTGTTTCCTAAAGACTTCCTGACGTTTTTGCTATGACTCCCTTAACTTCCGCATCCCGCAAAATTTTTGCGTTTGTGTCATCTTTTCCGGAGTGACTTGTCACGTGCCTTAGCAAGCTCTTGCTCAAATATTGTAATTAGAATCGAGTATGTCCACACTTTCATCATCCTCATTGATTAATTTCTCAATTTTTGTAGCTATTTCTATTTGCCTTTCCGAATAAATTTTCCTGTAGTTGCTCATCTTGTCTCCTTCCCACTTTCACTTCTCTTCCAAAACTTAGCTTGATACGATTGTGATCCCTTGCCAGACTTCTGGAGCTACATTCATCTAAGTGCATTCCCCTGAGCCTATCATACATCCTATGTGACATTAGTGCGTAATCAATCGTCGACTGCAGCCTTCCTACCTCCCATGTTATTTGCCCTTCACACTTCTCAGTATGGTTGCAAATGATCAAATCATGCCTTTCACACATATGATCATTTTGCCTGTTGGGTCGCTATACCCATTTATATATTGTATGTGGGCATTCTTATTTTATAGTATAATTATCTCACATTCTTCTTCTGATTCCTCATTGTCTTTTGATATACACTCCACCGTTGCCTGGTTTTCTTCTCTGGCCTTTGCTCCCATCTACAAGTACACCAATCCAAGGAGTGTCATTTGCCCTGCGACTTTCCCTTTCAGCCATAAATGTTCCTTGCACCCCTGCTTGGCCCTTTGCCAGTCTGTACTTTTATGAACGAATGCCCAAATACCACCCCCATTTCTGCTGCCTTCTGTTCTATTTCAATATTCCCACGCGTAGTCCAGATTGTTTGGAGGTAGTTCCATGTCCCTATGATGTGTTTCTACGAAACCGTATACCACCGGTCTCTCCTCGCTTAGCGGTTCTTCTATCTCTTCCCACTTGAGCCTGTTCCTGCCACCCTGATTGTTAATACACCCTACGTCAGAATTGGCTCGACCCTCGTGGCTAGGATTTTATTGAGGTTGTTGGGATTACATTTCATGAAATGCACAACACCATTTACCCATAGCCATAGGCTAGTAGGGGGTCTAATGGGAGAAAGTATACAAGCAGAACACAATTTGAGTAAAAAAATCACAACATCAAAGAAACTTAGATTTTTCAAAAAAAACGAACAAAAATACAAGAAGATATCATGGGATTTAAGATGACGTAAATGCTTTGAGAGAACGTAAAGAAATGTATAGAGAACACATTGTTGCACTTTGTGCATGAATAATCAAATAAATAAGTACAGACAAAATATAAAACTATGTGTGAGGTTTAGTACATGGTCAATGATATTGTTCTACATGTTGCAAATATTTTTGAGTGCGCTCGAGAAAGCTCTAGAATCTTCAATCTGAAGTGTTATGTTACAGGCCTGCTCATAACGGAGTGCTTTGGCATATTTTACCATGGCTGGTTTAACAGCACCAACAAAGTGTGAAGATGGGCAGGTGCGCGTCCAGCTTTACTGACACGTGATGAGTAATCATCGAAATCGTAAACGGAGAAAATTGTCGCGTAGAAGGTAATCGCAACTGTGATGGCGGTAGACAATTCACAACAGTTTGGCAGGGTCCTTGTTAGGCACACAGACACTCTCTTCCTTGTGCAATGAAAAGAGAAGCTAGATTAGTAACTGAGAAGGCTATGCGAGCGGTAATCCTTTACCCCATCACGTTCTCCTCTTTAGTGTGAAGCTCAAAAGTCCGTAAATCTTTGCTCAATACCACTACGCGCACAGGAGACCAGTCAGATACTAAATTACGAAATAATGACCACAATACCGCACGTTTCTTTTTACAGTTTACATGAAGTTTTCTGGATTATGCACTACTTCTGTAAATCTTTATTTTCAAATGTCTAACCAAGTCTTTCACAAATTAGGATAACTGATTACATGGTGCACATCACAATTTCTTGTCCTAGTTTCCTGAAATTAATACTTTCAAATGTTCTTAAGCAAATCTTGAGCGCTTCCTTATCCTCACATTAAATGTGTGGTTGACCCCTGTAGGTTTAGAACTTGGTGCGTTCGCCGTATACCTTCATATTGTTCCCCGCCCCGCTGACGGCGAGCCTATGCCATGACGGAAGCTGGTACCTCTGAATCGGTGGAACGACGGCTGCCTGTCGATCATAAAGGACGCGAAGATTCACGTCTCTCAAGGGGCTTAGTGGTGGCGCCTTACTGGATACAAGATGTGAGTCCGGCTGCAAGGGTGGAAGGTGCACTTGCGCTCCGCTGTAGCACCCGAAGCCAGCGGCAGCAGGGGCATTGGTACACGGGCCAATTATACTGATGGCCTGTCAGCTCAGCGTTGCAGGCACGTACCCGGGAGGTGCTTTCCCATGGTCCATCGACGCCGGACGCGGAGTCTTCCAGGAAACGGAGTGAAGGAAGTTTAGCGGTGTTGAGAGGCGCTGGTTCTTCGAAGAAGATCCACGAAGGAAAAGACTCCGTGCCTGACACTTTCAACAGCAGCCAATCGGAAGTCGAGGGGAGACACATTCCTGTATTCCGATTGGATTGTAAGAGATTTTTAAAGGGGAGTTAGGGGATGAAACCAGGGGTGCAGGGACAGGAGGGGAAAAAGAAACAAATGAACGTTTCTATCGAAATGATGTCCGAGCCGTCCTTTCCTCAAGGTACCAGCAGATGAAAAATTGTATTCGGCTTCCTTGGCGGTAGCAGCAAATGTCGTGCAACCAGCGAGGAGAGAGGAAGACCAAAAACGGAATTATCCCTGTGTCTTAGAAATCGTTATTACACAAAAGAAAACTTTCTCACAGAATTAGCTGAATGGTTTTTGTACGTTTAACGTGAACGCACCCACATTCAAGCGATACACCTTCAAACGACAAATTTGTTGTTAGTACGTTCATTATCAATAATTGGTCATAGATGCTTTTAGTAGCTGTGGTAGTTAACATTGAGAGTGGAATAAGAGGAATTGGTGTGGCATCCAGGAGAGCCGTCGCTGAGTGGGCAATAAACTTCGGCTGAGGTCACCTACTCGCGGCGTGTTATGAGTAATGAACACCACTGCCAAACTCGAGAGAAATGCAACGAGCGTCATGTCGACGCTGTTGGCCAGCCGCGCGGTGAGAGCGTAAGTGGAGAACGCAAAATTACAGCTACGTGACAAAGTTGTTTTTTTATCTATGAATCAACAATATGAGTGAGGCTGACGCTTTAAGTAATGTCGCTACCTAGCGTGGTGTCACTGCATCAGCAAAAGTTAGCTCCTACAACGTGCCGAACAGGACAGACGCGTAGAAACGATGCGTTAAAAAACTCGTCGAGGATGTCACAGTGATGACGCATCACTTCATTTTACTAAGAGCACTGTGAAAAGACAGGGTTTGATATAAAAGGCGTGTTTGTAAAGCTGCCTGGGTACATGACCGTGGTGCAGTGACTACAGCATGCCCAGACTCTATCGCCGTGAACCAGAAGGTGTATGGTTCGAATGCCGTTGAGAGATTTTTCCTTCTTTGCCTTTCAATTGTGCGTATTTCTTGACGTCATTTCTGTGACAGAAATACGTCACTGAAGTCTCGGTAGACTCCGGCATAACACACTTTCGTGATAAAACACCCACTGAAGTTCCTTGCGATAAACACAAGCTCACTGCATACAAATGATTTTTATTTGCATTGACGCTCCAGTGGCGTCTTATACTCGTGGCATACTTTAACGAAGTGTGTCGCAGATGCTTTCAATTAAGCTAATTTTACAGCAGTCCTGAAAGCTACTTGCATAATCCGTGTAAGTTTGCAGCGATTCAATAAGGTACAAATTTACGTAAATAAGACCACTTCGGAAGACGACTCTCGTTTCTGTCGAATATAATTGAAGTGAACACTAATTTCGCATATCGTACCCTAACGGGAACAGTTAGCGCTGTCTTGAATTGGCGTCCGTTTTTTTTCGCGTCGACGCAGATATTGGGTTTACGAATTCCGTCGCTATATAACAACGCATAATAAGTTATGGCGCCAATGGAGCTGTCTTGTGGCCACGACAAGGCGGGGCTGGGGGCGTTGGGCCTTGAGGATAGCAGCAAATTTTTCTTTCTTCTTTTCGTTTCTACGCGTTCTTGTCACGGTTGACGTGACGCGCTCGGTGCTTGATGATGTCAAGCATCTTTTGGCGCTTCTCCTCCATCAGGTTGTCGCGGCGCTGGTGGACGTAGTCTCGAATGTTGGGCAGGCCGGAAATGACGCAAGCAGCAAGCGCCGACCGGGCCTCGGTCATGTCCGTGGCCTCGTACCACTGGTCCGCGATCGGGTCGTAACACTCCGCGAGGTTGGTTGTGCTCTGGCCATCGAAGCCACCGATGGCGAACACCAGGTTGTCGATTATCTGAAAAAGTTGACGGAGGAGTAGAAAAAAAAATCCCAGCATAAGCATGAAGTGCATGGACATGATGAGGCGAAGCTCTGGAGGTACATCGGTAAACCGGGATTCCTCCGTACATTTTGCCCGCTTCATCATCATGTAAATGCGTGCGAAAACAAAATATACGCAACGTCATGTTTTGTTATTAGAATATGGTAGTGAACATTGACTTCTGTTCACCACAACCATAAGCGGTCGCAAACCTTGCTGCCATGGCCGGACCTGCGATCAAGAATGTCCTGCTTGAAGCACGCATCGGCACCACTGACCTCGGGTAGCGATCACTTCAGGAGCTTGGCTGCAGCATCCCGCGCACGTGCCGCGTCCGCTTGACGCCACGTCTGCTTAACACCACCTAGACTATCGATGCTGGTCCCCCTTGCTTCAGCTTCGCAGGCTCTTAGTTTAGGATCGAGAGTGGAGCGAGCGCCGCAGTGCCTCCAGCGGTCTCCTATTCAAAAGGGATCTTCGAATTTCAGGCCTGATGATGATCGTACATGAAGTTTGGTCGCGCAAGTGCCACGTTGGGCCAAAGAGCGCCTTGAAAGATCATGCAAAATTAACAGTGATCAGTTATTAACAATGACATTCAGGGGATGTGAACAAATATGGTGGTGGTAAGTGGCTGCACAGAGGACTAAAATTCTCGTCCTAAAGACGCGTAAAACTTTTGGTTAGTTTTTAAGAGTTGTAGTTCGGGGAGCGTGGTTAGATCAAGTTAGTTTAAATGTTGTAGTTTGGGGAGTGGTTAAGTTGGGTTGGGATAAGGTTGCGTTGGGTTAGGTTAGGTTAGTTTTAAAGTTGAAGTTTAGGGAGTGTGGTTGAGTTAGGTTAGGTTAGGCTAGTGACGTGACTTGTGTGCAGTGAAGATGAATAACATCTAGTCATCGTTACAAAAGCCATAAAAACTTGAAAACAGCATGAATGACTCGTCAATGCCCTTGAGTCAAATGGTTACGAGGTAAGTGATTTCTTTATAGCAGTCGTGGCCGCCGCAACCTCTGCTTAGAGGTCATGCTACGAATACCCTGGGTATATGACATGAAAACTACGTATATCGTTTACAAAATCGAGAAAGAGACTGTTATGGGTAAAGTGGGTTCCTACCGATAAACGTGGCAGGACTGAGTGGAGGTTGTTCTCGGTAGGGTAATCTAAAGTGCTTGTTTCTAATATCGTCCAAATTGTTGCACTGGATAAGGATGTGGAACGCGGTAAGTGGTTCTCCACATCTTTCACACTTGGGTGGATCATCATCGGACAGAAGGTACGCGTGTGTGGTATATGTGCGTCCTATTCGCAGCCTGGTCAGTGACTTATGAGTTGCGTGATTTATATACTACTCGCCATTTATTAGGGTACGGCATGATAATGTGCAGCTCATTTTCGGTGTGCCTGTTCCAAATGCTCTGCAAAGAAGCTCTGAGCTTTTGTTTAAAAGGGTTTTAGGTCAAACACAGGAATAGATATGCACGTATTACAGTTTTTTCTTAGGCGGATGCGGCAAGCTGTTCCGTAATCACATTGCCTGAGATCTCGTGGTGCCCTGGCACCCAGCAGACTACAATATGCTGTCCGTGAACGTAGAATACGCATACGAGTGAGTGAATAGAGACAAGGATAAAATTGTTTTGATTTTAATGATTTTCAGAGCTTTCACGATGCTTAGAGAGTCAGTGGAAATTATTGCATTCTGTAGGTCTTAATTCTTCCACGAATATGGCAAAAGCTTCTGCACTGAGGGTGCTTGTATCGGGATGCATAACGCCGGCATCCAAAAAAGATGGACCAACCTTAGTGTAGGACAAATAAGTGTTACATTTTGAAGGTTCTGTAAAGAGCACGAGATGTTTATGTTGCATTGCCAGGAAGTGTGTATGGATATGTGCAATTGGCGCATGCTTCGTAACCTCTAAGAAGACACATCGCTATCTTGAGCCTGCCACGCCACGGCGATATGTTATGTCGCGGGAGCCATCAAATGGGGCTCAAGTGGCACGCCCGTCTTTCGGCTAGACCCCTACACGAAGCGAGTTGGCCTAACGAAGGTTGTTTTCAAACAGCGCAGTACTGGAAAGATCATTCACTGTGGCGTGGGAGGAGTGTTTCTTATCAGCGTTAACTCTGGGATTATATAGAAACGACATGTCACACCTTTGCACGTGTAGCGACCACTGGTCAGATTCAACGCACAGGCTTTCCATAGGACTAATGCGAAAAGCACCCGTACAAAGACGAATCCCCAACTGGAAAACCATTCAAGCGTCTCCAAAGCGCTTGATGTTGCAGACTGGTAGATGATTGCTCCATAGTGTAGGCGCGTGCTTATGAGGCTTTTATACAGATGATTCAGGCATTTCTCTCACTCATCCATGCAGTGCGTGAAATGACTTTTAGAGTGTTCAGTGTTCGTATATACTTGTTTTTATAACTTCGTGTGTGATACAATGTAAGTTTAGAATCCAGAATAAAGCCTGAAAATTCATTTTCTACCGCTACAGGTAATCGCTGGCCATGCAAGGCGTTTCAGGGTAGGCTGGGCGCGTCTCTATCTCTAGAAAAAAGTGCACACTTGCTCTTTTGGGGGCTAAGCCTGAACCCTTTTTGTCGACACACCTGGACACTTTGCTCAGAGCTGAACATAGCCCTCACACATTGCAAGGTCACATGACTTAAACCATACTTGGACATCATCCACATATGTGGAATAGAACATGTTATGTGCGATGCCGATACGTAGAGAATTCATCATGACAACAAAAACGGTGCAACTCAAGAACCACCCTCCCCCCTGGTACTCCCGTCTGTATTCCTGGACACGAAAAAAGCGTATAACACAACATGGCGCTTTGGAATATTTAGGGACCTTTCACGCTTAGCTGTGTGAGTTAGGATGCTAAATATAGTTGAAAATTTTATATCTGATCGCCCATATCGTGTTCCAGTGCGCAATGTCCTCTCACTACCATTTGTTCAGGAATAAAATTTTCAGGCCTCCAGCAGCTGTCTGGCAGCCAGAGCTAGCCAGAGAGTCAGCCAGCAAGTTCCGGTGGGCACCTGAAACAGCGACGTGGTCACGTGTGTGAGGAACCGGAGACGGCCCGAAGCTGGCTGAAGATTGCATAATCGAACGCTGGGACAGCCAGTGTAAACGTAAACAAACACAACCATCGTGGCAGCAAACGAAACAATGCACCACGTATGCGTTGTTTTCTTTTCTGCATTGTCCGCTTGAAAATACATATCAATGTTTGCCGAAGAGCTGAAGTAATTATCCTCAGGCTTGCGCATTTGGGGTACGACTTCATACGCTCGCACGATCACTCGCAACATGCCACGTCCACTCACGAAACATCCAGCAGGCGCACGCCACCTCAAGAACAATACAAGGTGACCTGCCGCGCCCCTGACGGCTTAACAAGCTCACGTCTTCACATTACATGTAACCTTCACTGCACAACACGATGAAAAATCACGTGAAAGTGATCGTGTCTTCCAAAAAATCACAGCGTATCCACGAATTGAATAATTATGAGTGGGAGGAAGCTTCGGAGGGTTTTATCGGTAAATCGTGAAACGTTCGTTCGTCTCCGCCTGTCTGTTTTTCGGCCTGTCTGCCTGTCCGTCCGTCCATTCTTCCGCACCTGCTAAGTGAATCATTGAACTAGGCGGCCATGCACGACCTAGAAAGAACAGACCCGCCGCTTTAGGAGCTTCGCGCCTAAGAGAGCTATCGCGTGGTATACGTCGCAAGCACGCGTTGACCAACCTGCGTTTTATATGCAAATGCATTTCTCGATCGGGCTATGTCAGGCGTCCGTCGGAACCCGTTCATCTAGAAACAACTTCGGGCGCGCGCGAAGTTTTTCTTCCAAACTCATGTTTGTTACTCGCCCTTTGTAGTCACAGCAATTTTTAATAAATGGTGAAATTAAGGAGCCTTTATGTGCGCGCGTTTTCGTATTTTAGGGTGATGTGTCCTGCAAGTTCAGCTGGTGCCTCCGGCGCCGATTATCGACGAGCCATGCTTTCGTCACCAACCGGATCTTGAAACCACCTTCAAGCCCTTTCTTGACAAGCAAGAGTCATCGACATGGTCAACACTAGACACCGACTACTTAAAGGACGGGCATCGTACGCCAGCCTTTAGTGGGCACGAGGGAGCGGCAGGCATGTGTTCGTCACTGACCAAGCCGCTGCTTTTTGTTGTGCAGGTTAGTGAAATTCCGTCACTGTACTGTAAACGTTCTAGTAACGTTTGCCTGCTGCTCTTTCCGTGCCCAAGTGTCCTTTGCGAGATGTTTTGTGAAGCAGAAAGTGGCGACATTTTCATTTCTTCCTCTTTCCCAAAGCACCTCTCTTTCTCTTTTCTCGTCGTTGGCACGACGCCTCATTAGCGGCGGCGCTTACCGTCGTCCATCGGAATGCCGCCCCTGCGTTCTTATATCAAAACAGTTGCTGCTTTGCGGCGATGTGGAGACAAATCCGGGGCCTAATTAGGAAGTCCTAGCAGCTATCGCCAATCTTTCCGCCAAACTGGAGTCGCGTCACGCTGATGTTTTGCAGCAATTTGCTGGCCTTAAAAAGAATCAAGAAAATTTGACACGAACGGTCTCCGAGTTAGCAACTAGGATGGACGCTCTTGAGTCAGTTGTCGATACCCTTGACCGCGGACCATGTGCCGCTGACATAACAAACATTGTTTCTGCCGCTGTCCAAAGCGGAAATGCGGAATTGAAGTCAAGGATGAACGAGCTTGAAGACCGGTCCAGAAGGGACAACCTTATCTTTTATGGAATAGCTGACAATGAAACGGTGACATGGGAGCAATCTGAAGCACACGTGTGTAACCTAGCCTCTCAGCTTGAAATGCAAAGTTCTGAACTTTCTGGTAGTATCTCGAGAGCACATAGGTTGGGCGCTTTTTCAGCCACAAAAATGCGACCCATCATCGTCAAGTTTTC